AAGAAAAGGGAAAATGGTTTGAAGATCGTTATTCTTCACAGTCTGTGAGACCTGGAGAACCACAGCTGAATGCAGTAGATGGCCACAAACCTGTGACGGATCATACCCTGGGAACCACGGCAAACCACCACAGACTGGTACACATGACTCAGTATGAATTGCTAAAAGGGAAGACAGAGGAATCCGCACAGCATTTCCAAGGAGGAGGAGAGGAAGAAAGAACTGGGGGAGCTATCAAGAAGCCAGTGTCCATGACTCAGTCCTTCTGTAAGACTTTATCTTAATAACAAGACTGTATGGTTTGGGAACTAGAAGGCTGCATGTTATTTGTCAACATACCGGAGGACACAGAGCACTTGAAATGGGCGAGAGTCTGGGAAGGGAATGGTGTGAAAGCACAAGCAGCCAGCCAGGTTGTTAATAAATATTTTCTTTGTGGTTCTGTTTTTTTTTAACTAGAAATATTTTAACATGTTGGGTTGTTGTTTTTTTTTTAAATTTGAGTGTAATTTTTTCCCCAGTTAAACCTATTTAAATGACACATGAAAAGATGGCCATCCATTTTAAAGCCCAGATTTACAGTACCCTGTAAAAATAATTTGGCTTATATTACATTAAAAAAATAAGTTGAAGCACAGTATATCTGTTGCCAAGGTCTTAAAGAAAATCAGCCACGAACTTTAGACAGTATTAAAGCCAGAAAGCTTAGTTTCCCCTTCCAATCTGAATAATCATTAGGTCTGAGATTTATTATAATTACCATCTCAGTTTCTTAAGCTTTGTTTAATAAATATCTCAACTTTAAACATAAAACATTTCTTAGATCCATTCATCATATTTCACTTACAAAACAAATTGAAAATTCTAGTTTTTTTCTTTTCTACTATTCCAATTCCACAAACATCTTATGAAGTCTGGAATAAACAAAAGAATTATTTAATACATAGCAAGTGTAATTCCACAGTTTACAAAATCATGACATTGGAAATGTATGTGGATTAAATAAATAATTAAATACACATTAACTTGCAGAACTGCTTGTGTGTATATGTAGTATATCCTCCTTGCTAACAAAAAAAGGATTATTTTGTGAAAAGCTTACTCTTAGTTTAAGATTTCTGAATGTTCAGCAAACAATGAGAATCAATCTCCTTTAGGGAAGAAAAAGGTTAAAAAGTATGCCTACAAAATATGATTAACATTGCTTACTTAATTCAAATTTGCTCATGTGGTGATTTAAACTATGATTAAAATCCTTATTATAAATTATTTTGGTATGAATTAAACTACTATAAATTATTCACAGCAAACCATCCTGCTGTCATCCTCCAGCCTTTTATTGCTGTTATTCTGACGATGCTCATCTCTGTGAGTATTACGTTTCAAAGCTTTTAGCAATGCGTCCCTGGCCATCTTCCCAGCTTTTCCTTACCCAGTGAGCAACTGGCTTAATTTCTATTTCCTTCAGCCATGCTGCTCCAAAGATAGGGAAGTACTTCTGAGCGACAGACAAAACACATTCCCAAACAACTATAGGTCCTCTTTCTTTTTCATACCCACTTTCTTTGTGCCTCCTGTGAGGTTGATGTTGTCCTGTCTTAGGATCAGCATCTTCTTTTGCATTGGCATGTAAATATTAACATAAACTTCCTCTGTGCTGTACTCCTACAGCTGCCTTACTGACAGTTTGATCCCAGGTTAAATCTTCCCTACCTGTGATTACTTTCCAGGTATACATCCTGAGTACCACATTTCCAGCTTGCGGAGAACAGGCTGAACACAATTGCTACCACATTTTTCCCGTTTACCACTTGCTACTTAAAATTTATTTTTCAAGATTTTAAGTTGTACTCCCTCACAGCCGCTGTGAAAGACTTTATCAAAGGCTTTCTCCTCCTCCAGCTGACTATAATGGGCACTCTGCGGGTATGTAGTTCACTGCTTCTTCCTCTTGTTTTTCCATCTCATTGTCGTGGTTTAACCCCAGGCAGCAACTAACCACCATGCAGCTGCTCACTCACTCCCCCCTGCCCAGTGGGATGGGGGAGAGAATCAGAAGGAAAAGGTAAAACCTGTGGGTTCAGATACGAACAGTTTGATAGAACAGAAAGGAAGAAACTAATAATGATAATAGTAACAACAATAAAATGACAATACTAATAAAAGAATTGGAATATACAGAACAAGTGATGCGCAATGCAAGTGCTCACCACTTGCAGACCAATGCCCAGTTAGTTCCCGAGCAGCGATCCCCCCAAGCCCACTCCCCCCAGTTTATATACTGGGCATGATATCACATGGTGTGGAATACCCCTTTGGCCAGTTTGGGTCAGCTGCCCTGGCTGTGTCCCCTCCCAACTTCTTGTGCCCCTCCAGCCTTCTCGCTGGCTGGGCATCAGAAGCTGAAAAATCCTTGACTTAGTCTAAACACTACTCAGCAACAACTGAAAACATCAGTGTGTTATCAACATTCTTCGCATACTGAATCTAAAACATAGCACTAGATACTAGAAAGAAAATTAACTCTAACCCAGCTGAAACCAGGACACTCATGGAAGGCATTTTCTTATTTACACAACTTAATTTCTCTCTTGCAATGGCTAATTCCCCTGGTCAACAACACTCATCTCAGTGAAGCAACATTTGGGTATAAGGTCTGCAGAATTACTAGACAGAGCTGTTTAAAAGGGACTGGGAATAAATCAGAAAACAATTCAGCATGCACGGTGGGGACAACAGAACTGTTTTCCTACCGTATCAGATCAGAAAGAAAAGTTGTGGTTAAGTTTGTTCAAGGGCACAAAAGCATAAAAAAGTCTTTCGTTTCTTCTGCTTTGATTGACTGTGGAAAACACTAGCATGTAACTGCAATTATTTAACAATAATAGTCCATTTTTTAGTGAATATTCATGTCAGTATTTAAGCATACAGAGACAAGTGTTAGTTCAGGTTCTGCAAAGCTTTGCATCCCAATCCAAAAATACGTGTTTCCTGTCCTCTTGGTTGACTCAGGACTTCCAAATGATGCGACTCAACTGCATGAAAGTGTCATGAAAATCTAGGCTTCTTTCTTAGCTTTTGGTAAATCCAAATTTTTAATTTTTTTTCCCATGTGCTCTGAGTTTCCTTTCATCAAAACAGCCACCGTTCCTCATTTATAGAGCAGTCTGGGAATGCGTCAGGTGCTGGAATTCAGGAATCGCAGAATGGTTTGGGTTGGAATGGATGTTGAAGATCATCCAGTTCCAACCCCCTGCCATGGGCAGGGACACCTTCCACCAGACCAGGTTGCTCAAAGCCCCATCCAACCTGGCCTTGAACACTGCCAGGGATGGGGCAGCCACAGCTGCTCTGGGCAACCTGTTCCAGTGCCTCACCACCCTCACAATGAAGAATTTCCTCCTAATGTCTAAATCTACCTTCTTTCAGTTTAAAACAGTTGTCCCTTGTCCTGTCACTACAGGCCTTGGTAAAGAGTCTTTCTTAGGAACCCCCTTTCTATATTGAAAGGCTCTTTCCAAGGTGTCCCCCGAGCCTCCTCTTCATTCTGGAGCCGGAATAAAGAAATGTGAGGGAGGAAACAGAGATGGTTGTGATACGAAGTCATGCCGGGCAGCGTCAGGCGAGGAAAACAACAGAAAAACGTGGCAGCGCGGGGAAGCCGGCGAAGGCCGCACCGCAGAGGAGAGGCCGCCGGACAGCACTGCGAGAACTGGAAGCCACGGCGGGACAGGAGAGCAGGACGGCCAACTGAGGCGGCCCACGGCACCTCGGCCCTTTTTCCTTCCTCCGTGGTGCCCCCACTAAACGCAGACGCCCCGCTTCCAGCGAGCCTACGGCTAGACCCAGCCATGCCCGGGCCCCGCTACGCGACCCTGGCCAGAGCCCCTGCGAGTCCCTGAACGGGCCCAGGG